TCCTTGTATTTGGAGGACGAGTGAAAATACTCGACAGAGCAGTCGCCATGAAAATATTTGTAGAAAAGACAGAGGGAAGACATCCCCACTGACTTGACCCTTTTTTAAATTATTCTTATTCCGTTGACAATGCAATATCTATCATAGAGAACATTCATGTATACAATCTTTCATGTTATCCTGCAGAAAAGTCAGTACTCTTACTACTACTGTGGTTACTGTTCTGTCCCGTTTAAGTAATCTTTATTCCAGGTCTATAGTCACCGTTTAGTCAAATTGTTGACAATGTCGGAACCTATCAATTGTATAGAGTACTTTCATTTCATTTTCCTTAATTATAATTGTATTAATTATTAGGAGATATGAGTCATCTAATGAGTGACTTGATTACAAACCATCCTTAATTTGATAATTAAATATCTTTCTGGAAAGGGACATGCCATTGGTGGCCAGACAAATAGTTGACTTGCTCTGAGACGAACCAAGATTTAGGAGTGTCAAGGACCCAGCCATAAATCCTTTAACCTTTATAATTTAAATGCGATGCCGTAATCATTGTGCTGCGGCACATATTACTCTGCTTGCACGTATAGGTAATATAATTAATAATAATAGTTATTTGCTTCTCAATACCAGGATAAAGTGACAGTAAGCTTTCTCGAATTCTCAATATTAAAGCCACTGTTTCTTATTTTGCTATCGTTCATATAATCTCAGCTGTTCGTAAAAATCGACTTTGCAATTGTTTACTTTTCTTTCATAATAGACATGAGCAGCACTTGATTCATCGTTTCAAATGTTACTTCCATTGATCTGGTTATTTTTGCAAGACACTGACTGAAAAGAACTGCTCTGGAATTTCCTGCGCATTTATTTCGGTTTTCTTGGAGGACAGAGCCTTACCGAAGTGTGAACAGTATCAATTCTTCAATGCGATGCTAATTCATCCAATGATGATTTTTTTTTTGGTTTAGGCATGGACCAAAGAGCACTAAATATTATGATCACAGCTAATACTTTCGTGTTTTACAGGTATTTATTGTTCCTTTGTCGACATCCTTGAATTTTTATTAATTATCAAAACTTTGTATTTATTTAAAATTTTTCTCAATCTAAAATTAACCTTGTTCCTTTTTTTCAGCTTCCATGTCCGGATTTATTTCTAGTTGTATCTTCGATGTGAATGATACACAGAGAAGATTGAGTGCTTAATATATTTATTCAGCACCAGCATCCGTTGCTAACGGATACATACAAAAAACACAGAACAATAAGTTACAAAACAATTAACAAGACAACTTACAAGAAATAGAAGAGGGTCAAATACTGTATAACCAAAAGAAGTAAGATCAGTATGAATATTAATCAGCTTAGTATCAAATTATTAACCAACTGTTGAAATCCTCAATCGAAGACTATTTAGGGCTATCAGCCAAGCCATCTGGTACAGTGTTGAAGTGGGGCAAGCGACTCTACAACACTAATATAACTTTATCGGATTTATTCTCATAATTGCTGAATATTATACATTTAATTGTCAATGTATTTATATCAGTTATTTAAATGAAGAGTTTGGTAAATTTCAAGCACTACATTTTCTTTGTCGAGACATTTCTCAATTCTCAAAAAAATCTTTGATTCAGATAATAATTCAGTTAAATTTTATATCGGCAATCAGCAAAACAGCATAATATAATAAAACGGATAGTTATCAGCACCACATAAATTCTATATGACATAAAAAGTAAAAATATGACTGGAAATGTTAAAAACATTAAGCATGAAAGATAAAAAACACAATAAAATGTTATCAAATATGCTTACTATATTTTATAATTAGAAAAGAGCAAGAAGTGTCGTGTGAAGACATGATAACTGAAAAAAATTATTTGAACAACACACAGAGTGGTAGATATTAAAGGAAAATATTTGGAAAATATATAATTCAAGAGATTCTACCGATGAACCGACCTCATCGGAATAAGAATTTTAATCGACATTAATGAGACAGAACGCGATTCATATTAAGAGGCTGAACGCTTGATTTTTATTTTAATTCTAACGCCTTAGGAATTAGAGTTAATTTTTAATTTCATTTTATTTTATTTTCTTATATTTATTTATGTTTATTTAAATTAACTGAAATAACTTAGTCAATTTATCATAAAGATTCATAGCTCATGTCACTTTCAATTCATCTTTATCTAAGTAGATCCAATTTTTCTTAAAAAGACATTTTACACATCATAATTTTCATTACTAGATTTTCGGCGGCACATAAGCCCATTGATTGCTTTGTTTAATTTTAAGTCCTTTTTCGTTCGCTTATTCTATTCTTTAAATATCGGGATCTTTTGCGGATGTATTTGGGAGAGGTACAATGTTTGCATTCTATTTTTTATGCATATTCAGTTATTATGCATTTGTATACGGTTAATTATATGAAAAGTACTGGTATTCCTTAGTTTATAGCTTCAAAATCTGTATGTGTACAAACACTTGTTTCCACACAATTTATATAATAACTGGATAAATGTGAATAGATAGCTAGTTATGAATGAACCGAAAGCGTTTGTTAAATTTCATACACTACATTTTCTCTGTCTAGACATTTCTTTTTATTCGCAGATCTAGCTTCAGTTGTATTATGTCGCCTACTTCTTTTTTTTTTATTTGGCTTTGCTACAATTGTTTTTTTCAGTAATTTAGCTATCAACTTTGCGATACGTATATATTATGTGCGTTATGGTCTAATGGATAGAGCTGGATTCGTAATTCCAGTCGGGTTCAGGACATTCTGTTACGCGCAAATATACATGAAAAAAAATGTATGGATGAATCTTTTTCTTCCAGCTATGATTGGGATAGCAGAAGAGACTGGATTCTATCGCCTTGGATGGCAACCAGCCTACTCAGAAATATACGTTAGGAAAAATCTGCCTTGACATTCGTATGATATGTTAAGTCTCTGTAATATATTACTTTTCAGCTATAACTAACATATATCAGTAAAAAGGTAATATGAATAAAATCTAAAAGAAAAAATTTCTTTACCCACGCATTTCGTCCTCTGATGTACTTTATCAAGACAAATGTAAGGATTTAATTTTGCGACATGTATTTATAAAAATAAAAGGAAAAATGTTGTTAGTTTCTCCATTGATTTTTCTTTTAATTTAAGAGTCGCTCAAGAATATTTGACAGGTTAACTGAAAAGTCAAGGGAAACTATGGAAGATGCTAAATTTAATGTCTATTAAACGAAAGTAGATAAATGAATTGGTTGTTGAATATTTTTCATGCAAATAATATTTAAATTATTTTAGTATGGTATAAATTGAAGTATGTAACAGTTTTCTTTTAATTCTGTGTGTTGGTTTGGAAAAGAGATAATTCTTTCAGAAATGAAGATATCTGAAAAAAAATCAAGGGTGTAGATTTATATTTTGATGAGATTCGATAGCGGCACTCTCATGAATTTTCCAACTAAGTTATTTTAAGAAGTGTGGCATTCTTTAGATCAAAGGTTCGGCTGAATTCTTATCCTATTTATAACTGATGCATTTGATAAATCTTTGTGTATAAGATAATGTTTGTTTTCATAGATACGATTTTTTTTTTTTTTTGGTTTCTGGAAGTTTCGCCAATATATAGTGAATGGCAATTTTGTCAGTTTATTTTATATAAACCTGCTTCAGAATTATTATTGTTATGGACATTTTTGGTTCTGATCATATCCCATAATAGTTTTGGGTGTTGTTGTAATTATTTTGATAATCCGAAATATAATTTTTGGTAATCCGGTGGACAGAAGCTAACACCTTTTATCCCTTCACTACGTAACACCTGACAGCTTGTTTGGTACGGGTACAGTATTGACCATAAAGAGGCTTATCTTGCCATCGTTTATGCATTTGTTACATTTGCTTTTGTTTTGTTTTGTTAAGTTCTTTACCGCTGTTGTAGGTGTATTATGTTTTATTTGTAATTTTTTACACAATTGAAATTCAATTTCAATTTTGAATTTATTGGCTTCCTTTATTCCTAAATAAAGTCTTATTTAATCTTGATTAACATATATATCATCAGCCAATCTTTTGTTTACTCGTATCTTTGACGACCGATTGTCGTGGTTTTGTAAGACAGTTCAAGGTGTCTTTCTAAACCCGACTGTGTTTCTGTGTGTCTCTCTTTCTAAATCTACGTGTGTTTCTGTGACTCTTTCTAAACCTCAGTGTGTTTCTGTAACTCTCTCTTTCTAAACCTAATTGGGTTAGTTTAACTCTCTTTTTCTAAACCTAAGTGTGTTTCTACGACTCTCTCTTGAATATTACTTTTGTACATTTATCTAATCCGAATTTCATACCTATGCCAACACTGATTTTTATTATTTTTATTTTTATTATTATTATTGTTATTATTGCTTTTGTACCATGTGCATCATATTTAGTCAATAAAGAATATAAAACAGTCCCAAGTTGATAATTGACTAATAAATCGAAAACCAGTTGAATTCGTGTGGCCTGGGAGCTGGATTTGAACTAATGACCCCGGATTTGGGACCTAATGTTCCGCCTCCAAGTGTCATAGTGCTTATTTCAGCGCCATAATCCGATTATCAGTATCGTTAATTGAAATGAGTTAATGGCCGGGCGCCTTTTCTGTGGCTATTGAAAGCGTGATTGATGCGAATCAAATTAAGAACAGGGATTCTTTGATGATACTGTTGTCGTTTCTGTAACATGAGTAAAAGACACATGTAAGGCAAGAGGAAGAGAGATAACGAAAGAAAAGTAAAAATATTGAGAGGGTGTTGAGAGATTTAGAGATATAGGGAAAGGGAGACATAATATAATAACAGTTTGACAAAGGATGAAAGAGAGATATTGGAAGGAGGGGAAGAAAGAGAGAAATATGAAAGAGAAGGAAAAGTAAAAGGAGAATTACGGGGAAAAAGAGAGGGTAGCAGAGAGTGAAATATAGAGAATATGGCAGAAGGAATCAATGCAGGAAGGATGCAGTAAAGAAAGAAGGGAGAAAGGGAGGGACACAAAAGAGAAAGAGAAGGAAAGAAAAAGAGAAAAAGAGAGAGGGGAATAAATAAATTAATTGATAAATAAAGTTTGGATGGATGTGTGAGGAAAATATGAATAAGGAAAGAAAAGAGTGTGACAAGAAAAAAGTGTAATGGAAGGAAATATGTGAGGGAAGGAAAAATTCGAGAGTGAAGAAGAAAAAGGATTGTGAAATGAAAGAGTGAGAAGAAAAGGATGAGCAAACGAAAAAAAAATGACGGAAAGAAAAGAGAGTGAAAAAGGAAAGGGATAATGAAAGGAAAGAGAAAGAAGAAAAGAGTGAATGAAAGAATAAAGAGCAAAGAAAGAAAAAAGTGTGAAAAAGGAAAGGGATAGTGTAAAGAAAGAATAAGAAGAAAAGAGTGAATAAAAGAAAAAATAGAAAGGAGAAATTAACGCTTGTTGCAATTTTTACCTCTTTTCTTAGACTAACATCACATACGGTAGCTTAACATTCTGGAATTATCATAATTTGTATGCCTGAAATGCTTATTGTATGTTTATTAACATTACAGAATAGACCTTGTATAACGTTTGGATAAAATGTTACTTTCTTTTGAATTGGACTGTCAATGAAAACAATAATATCGGAGTATCTACAAAGTTATGGGACTGACATTCCGATATCAACCTCCCTTACATAGTAAAATTCTATTGGTACCATTCAAATATTTGTCATATGACACGATGCTATTTAGTAACTGCTCCACGCAGTCACATGTACCACAAGGCCGAATTTAATGTGGGGTTCCCGAGCCCGTAGGCTCGGCCAAAAAATCTCCGTACGCTCGGCCAAAAAATCCCCGTAGACCCCGCATAAACGGGATCGGGTCGGTCTACTTTCCAGAACGAGACTCTGACCTTCGGCATAGCCTCGTCCGGAACTTTAGAATGAACCGGGAACTTAAAGCAGGAAGAAGAGCAAAATTTCTTCTGTTGAAAAGATTTGCTGTCTGACTGGAAAATTGACGGTAAAAGTGACAAGAATATGGTATGATTTAAAAAGACCTAAAGAAAGTCTCTTTTGGTGTATAAAACAAGCTTGACAGTGATACCAAACCTAATACCATAATCCTGGTTCCAACATTCAACGCTCAGACTAATCGAGAACTAATCGAGGCTCATTTTGAGCCTGAGCTTTTCATTCAAGTTTGACGTGCGTCCAGAGTAAGACGACAAGCTACGTCCAACAGAAAGGCCTCTGATCAGGAGGCTTTGAGGTGCGTGGAACTGCTGGTGTTCCCAGGTCCACCCTGACGTTGGGTGGTAGCACCTGTTAGGGTCCCAGCAATGGGCAAATTGTTAACTTCGAAACTGAGCTAAAAAGCATTATAAAAGTGTAAATATAGGTTTTACTATCAGAATACTTTACAAAAAAAAAATTATTACCAGAAATAAACTTTTGAAGAAAAAAACTATTACCAGCAATACGTTTTTGAAAAAAAATATTACCAGCAATACATTTTTTTAAATAATATTACCAACTATAGATTCTTGAGGAAAAAATATTAACGCAAATAGATTTTTGGCAAAACAAAAATATTACCAGAAAAAAAAAATGTTGTCAGCATTAAATGACCCATTGAGGTTGATATGCCGTAAAACAAAACAAGCCAAACCAAACCAATCAAGTTCGACGTCTAGTTCACCTCGTCATTTCTTTTAGTAGCGATTATCTATTACTCTCGCTGTTTTCACTGAGCCTGAACTTTTACTACTCAGGACGGGGACGGAACTCTACATCACCAGATAAACTAACAATTTAATCCTCTAAGCTATTGTTAGTACGAAATAAGACATCCGTAGATAAAGACTGTTGAATACTTTACACCCATAGAATAAATAAAGGATTCACCTCGAAGATCTGTAAGGTTTACCCACACCAAGAGACACCCGAAGAAGACTGAACTCTGCATCAGTCGAAACGTTGTAATTACAACTAAGCTAAAACATTTAAAATAATTAAATAATCTACTCTTACTTAGATAACTTGAATTGAATTTACCGATAATACCTCAATATTCTCCTTCCAAAGGAAATCTACTCGTTAATGTCATAGAAATCCTGATAAAATTCCGGCTGACAAACCAAATCTAGTCTGCATATTCCTAAAAACAGAAATCATTTTGGTGAATAAACCTACCAGATAGCAAGATGTATATTGGATTTGAGTGTGTATGGCTACTTTTTATGTTTTCTCCTAATTAGTATTTATTGGGCTTTTATTGATTTTAACATTCATATCTAAATCATTTTATTAGAAAACAAAAAATAAAATCATGTTAATAGACAGATATATTTACTCGCAGAGAACGAAAGATGATGTTCATTTGAGATAAAAGAACTGTGACGACCATTTCTCAACTCATATTTGGACGATTATAATGTTTAATCAGCAGTCATAGGAGCAGATGTTTGTAACATATATAATAAATGCAAAAGCAAAATGTTGTTGCAGAAGAATGCAAAGAACATTAAATGAAACACGTTTTGGATTAGTTATCAACAGAAATATCCCATCTATAAACAGAGACACTCATAAAAACCTGAATAAACATCCTGCCAAATTATCATTAGCTTTTTTTTCCCCCTCAAGATTTTGGAATTGCTTTTCGAAACCTTTAGTTAAGAAGTGTATATGAACCCAAATTTGAAAACCTAACATCTTTAGCGCCTCGTTTTGAACTCAATATGGCCAGATTAATCTGATGTGTAATTGATTAAGGTCCATGTGAAATTAATCCACGGATGTGTCAAATTGAAGAGAAACAGACGATTTGGGTCCCAATATAACGACGTTGATTGAATTTATCTACAAGTAATTGAATATGGTCTTCTCTCAAATATCTTTTTTCGTTTCTAATATTTTGAAGAATTTGTATTCTTAAGGATGTCGACTAATTTCGAAAGATTTTCTTGTGTATGGATTTAATAATTCTTTTAAATATATCTACATAACAAACAGTTTCTCCTAAACACCTACATCGATGAAATAAATATATAATAATGTAATATTGCATTCCGAATTTATTCGAACATTTTCACTGTATCAATCCTTAAATCTTTGCCTGACTTCACTTCCCACCGCCTCTGGCGCCATATAATATTCCTGTTTCAATTATAATCCTTCAATCTCTAAAAGTGTCACAAGTTTCTGCTATTAAAAATTCAAACAATTTTACTTAATATTTTGTTAATCGGTATCACCCCATGCAAGGCATTAAAGCCACTAAGACGAAAGTGTCTACAGGGAGTGGAAGAATTAGGAACAGAAATAATAACGATGAGCAGAGAGTAATCATGAGGACAGCAGATAGCGATTCTTCTTTGACTCTTATCGGGGAGCTCAAAGTAAATAGCAGGGACACGTTGTAATAAATATGGCGACAAAGATGAGGACAATAGTCCGAATAATGTAAATAGTGTACAAATACCTGATCTCAGAAATATAGACAGATACTGAAAGGCCGAAACGTTGTAATAAATATGGCGACAAAGATGAGGACAATAGTCGGAATAATGTAAATAATGTACATAATACCTGATCTCAGAAATATAGACAGATACTCAATGACCGAAACTTTGTAATAAATATGGCGACAAAGATGAGGACGATAGTCCGAATAATGTAAATAGTGTACATAATACTTCATCTCAGATATATAGACAGATACTAAAGGGCAAAAACGATATAATAAGTATGGCGACAAAGGTGAGGACAATAGTTCGAATAATGTAAATAGTATACATAATACCTCATCTCAGTAATATAGACAGATACTGAAGGGAAAACACGCGTGACATACTTGGTGGACTTAAGCAAGTAGAGGGCAGAACGTGGTTTGGAGGAGTTGGCAGGGGTACAAAACTTATTGAGAGCCACAAAGGATAGAGGGAAAGAACTTGTTGAGAGCTGCAAGGGATACAGGAGGCGGAGAGCCATGATCGTCTACGTTCTGAAAGGACATGTCACATAAAAGAAAGATATCTTATGCTACTTATATAGCATAGAATATATGATAGACCTCCGACAACTATTTTATAATAGATAATATGCAGTAGTGAATACGATGTTGTATCTTTTAATATAGAGGGTATGCTACGATTTATGTATACACTTTTATCTATTATCTGATGAGGGACAGTCGAGAACTTCAAAGGCTGGCTAGGAAGAAGTGTTACTAGAGCTGTGAAATCTTGTATTCATTAATTTCATTTTTTTTTTTTCATGTAAGAAGTAACAGCTTCTCTTGAAAATGGAAACAAAATTGGTATTGTCGTGTTATCAAGTTCCTGGATTGAAATGTTTTACCCCCACGGATATTCATGCTGCCATAGTTGCTATATTTGTGCATGACGTTTCAGTTTCAATCCCAGTGCAAAAGTGGCTAAACGAATTTACTAGGGGAAGATAGAGAATTGAAAATGTCACAAGGTATGGAACTTGTGCAACTGCCACAACCGAGGAGAATATTGGTCATGTTCACCACAGGGTGATGAATGTCAGGCCATAAATCAAATATCCCGTGAGAATTGTGGGAATATTCTACACAATCAACTAGTGACGACAAAGGTTTCTGTTCGGTGGGTGTCACGTCTTTTGAGACCTGCTTAAAAGCGCACAGGGCTGATCGCATCATGGGAAAATCTGACATTATTTGAGGCAGATCCAGCTGATTTCCTAGAACCTTTTCTAACCCAGGATGAGTAATGGTTTCATCACTTTGAGGCAGAGACTGAGATAATACCTGCAGTGTAAAGTGGGCCAAGATGGCTAAACGTCATATCCGAAAACTTGGATAAAAGAAACTTAATTAGTTTAATTTTGTTTTTTATATATTAAACATTATGAGAGACAGAAAATTATCCCATGTTTTTACATGTTTTGGACAATTTTGACGCTACAACCGGTATATGTATAAAACAATTCAGAGATTCAAAAAGAATTGCCAGTGGATGATATAAACACAAAGGCCATGCGAATTTTCGAAAGAGGTGAAGACAGACAGGAACAGAGAAATCAGTGGGAGAGATTGAAGAGTTCAGATTAGTTTAACAGAGAGCTGGGGTGTCTGGAGAACGTTGTAAGAGAAAGGATCGAAAACGGTAGAAACTGGTACGAAAATCACGAATTTTGGAGAAAGAAAGGTCGAAGGTCATAAGCGTTTGTTTTTGCGTTCTGGTTTAATTTTATTTTGTTTATTTGTTTTGGTCATAATATATTTTAAAGGTGGAAAAGGTCAAGAATAATAGTGGCTGCTGGCCATCAGTAGCAACATGAGCTGGCTGTAAATAGGTGGGACTGCAGCAGGGTGTGGTCTCAGAGTTTCCCACCGGAATTGCTTCCAGGGACACCTATCCCTGCGCGACATGGCACTGCAAGAACCGCGATATTATCCGACTGTTGACCATCTTCTATAAATGCTAC